TTATTATTATTTTTATTTAGGTCTTTTTGCACACTAGACAGAGCACTTCCAGCCTCCTCACCGCTTAAACCACAATTTCCGAGCAGCACTTGAAAGCACCACGGAGAGGAGCGCTGCTCCTGACTCGCCCGTCGTGTTATCCTGAATCTCAGTGCATTCATGTTAAAGTTCATTTTCCGTGTCCTCCTATGTGTCACACTGAAACACACAAAAGTGATACAAAGTGACATGAAACGACGTCTGGATGACACGAAATGACAAATTTCATGTGAAGGATTCTGGTTTGTCTTTCCTGCTCTTATTTTGAAGTGCACAGGCACAGAGGAGTCCAGTGTTTACCCTTCTTACAGCTCTGCTTTGGTCTCCCCCACCTGCTCTCTGCAGGACTACATGCTGCAGCAGACGATGCTGAGGGTCAAAGATCCGGCTCGCTCGCTGGACTTCTACACTCGAATCCTGGGCATGATGTAAGTCCTCAGTCTGATCCCGAACTTCTCCCGTGCTGCTCTGCCCTAACCGCCCCAGTGCTCTGTGCTCTCTAGGCTGCTGCAGAAGATCGACTTCCCTTCAATGCGCTTCACCTTCTACTCCCTGGGTTACGAGGACAAGGCCGACATCCCGGCAGATGTCAAGGAGAGGACAGCGTGGACATTCTCCCGCAGAGCCACCCTGGAGCTCACGCAGTACGTATGGAAACAACCAGTTCAACACTTAAACTCGATATGAGTATTATTTATAATAAATAATATTCCTCCACCTGTCAGTAACTGGGGCACGGAGTGTGATGCAGATCTGTCATACCACAACGGGAACAATGAGCGGCGAGGATTTGGTGAGAACCTGTTTGTTCAACGTTCAGACCGTTTCGTTTGCTTCTCAATGCTTTACTTGTTGTGGTTGTCACTGCTGTCCTACTTCCACGCAGGTCACATCGGCATTGCTGTTCCTGATGTTTACGCTGCCTGCAAGTTATTTGAGGAGCAAGGAGTTTGTCAAGAAACCAGAGACAGGTGAGTTTTTCAGTCAGCGGTCCAGCCTCAAAACACCACCATAGTGAAGCCAAACTCCACTGTTCATCAATCAGCCCCTACCTGTCCTGCAGGTGGCCTTTCATTAATGGATTTTTTTTAAACTGAAAAAGCTTTTGAGCCTCTGTGACTGGTGATTAGATTAAACATTGTGAAGTTTGAAAATGTAAAAAATCTTCCTCAGTCTTGAAGAACCTCGTCTGTGCTCTGCTGCTGATACGTCTGTACCAGCAGGGGGCGCGCAGACACAGCTGGTCAGGTCGCCTGTTTGAGTTGAGGCCTGTACTTTGCAAGGAGTGGATGGAAGTCAGCTTCTCTCCTTGAACTTCACTGATGACAGTCTGTTTCTGCTGTCGCAGGTAGAAGGAAGGGTCTGGCCTTTGTTCAGGACCCGGATGGATACTGGATCGAGATCTTAAGTCCAAACAACATGTTCTCCCTCATGTCGTCTTAGAGTCGGATCACTGAAACAGAGGAGGACTGAACGTTATGAACGTTATGTCATATTAACATTAAAGGATATAATAAAGTAATGTGGCACATTTATGCTTTAAATGGATTAAAGCACAGATGGTCAAACCTGCTCACTGAAATCAGAATGAGTTTACATTTCTGTGCTGTTTGTGCTGTTTTTTTTAATTATTCCAGATGTGCAGCACTTCACTGAACAGCTGTTTTTAAATGTGCCATAGAAATAAACTCACTTGACTTTGAGTTTTTCTATGTCATGCTGCTTTCTACTTCAATTCCACTATATGTTGGGTGTAACTGTCATACTTTTTTACTTCATGACATGTATTTGAAATGGTATGTAGTAAGAGTGATATACATATATTAAGCTGTGTTTTTTCATGTCAGACATCTGTATGAGTGCACAGAGCTGCACGCGCATGAACATCCTGCTTACTGTATTTATTTCTGATCAAATTACTTGTTTTTGCACAAATTCAGTTTTCAGAATTATGTTTGCAGCACACACTGTCTGTATATAAAAGATGGAAGATTTCCTGCTCTGAAAAATAAGGCTGAAGTTAAACCTGTGTTCTTTGTCTTGGCCAGCAGAGGGCGACTCCTGCGTCAGCAAACAGGTCTCAACTCTGATCTGAGGGAGGGTTTGAAGATGGTAGACAGCGACCATGTTCAGCTTGAGGCTTCTGAAACTGTCACTGTGTATTTTATACAGTTATCAGTACTTTTACTTGTAATGGAGTATTTTTATTGTGAGGTATTTGCACTTTTAACTGAAGTCAAACAGCCGAGCAGTAAATTGAATCTGATGAATTTAAGAGATGAAAATGTGTCATCAGTTTGTAAGTACTCACTACAGCGCCCAGCTCACGTCCTCCTCGCTGTAATCCGTCCTCTCCCTCTGTGAGGATATAAAGCATGAATCATGTCACCTAATTTACTGCCGCTTGCTTCAAAGCCACGTCGCAGCGTGAGAACCATGTCGGCTGACCGGAGCAGATTTACGGCCCGCAGCGTCGTTCCCAGGCCTGTCGGCCTTTAATCCTCCGCTGAGCTGGAAGTGACACTGCTTTCTGCTCCGGGAGGATTTACCGGCTGTAATGGCGATTGAGCCACAAGACGAAGGCAAAGAGAAGTGTGTGTGTGTGTGTGTCTGTGTGTGTGTACAGTGTGGTTGGTCACACGTGCCAACATACTGAGGTAAAAACGTTTGCCTCGTGGTGGAAGACGTGCTGTTTTGTCCAGCCCTGAGGAAGATCACGTGACCTGACTGAAGTAGGTGAAGTCAGCTCACCTGGTCTCACACATGTAAAAGCCCCTTCCCCCTCATTGTAGCGTTGTCTCTGCAAGGTAGTCTGTCTCATTTTTGTGCGTCTTTGTATTCATGTCACTTTGTCTCAGGATTGTTTTGTTACGGTCCTTTCCTCGTGTCTTTCTGGTTTCTCTGAACTTTTTCATCTTATGTTGTGAAAGGAGTAATTCTCTCTTTGTTTTTGGTTACCATCATTTTGTGACTCCTTGTATTGTTTTTGCCACTTTCTGGTCATTTTATAGTCATTGTGTCTTTTTGTGGTCATTTTCTTTTGTTTTTGTGCCTTTTTCTGTCAAATAACTAAGGATATTATTTCTCTCATGGTAGCTTCTTGGCATCATTTTTAAAGTCTTACGTGTTTGTCATTGTGTCTATTTAAGGACAATTTTCTGTTTCTTTTTTACATTTTGTGATCGTTTTTAATTTTGTCTGGTCTTTTTATTGTCAGTAAGTCTCTTTATGGTTCAGTGAAACACAATGATGAAACATGCATGTAATTGCCACCTCATTACTGTGGTAATTATGACATTATGAGGTGGCATTTACATTGTGAGAGATCTCATGCCTTACCTGAGATCTCTCTCTGAACACTAACCCTCAGTAATTGTTGAGAATTGTTTCTTATTTTTTTGTTCAAAAATAGTCATAAACTCTGCAAACACATTTCTGAATATTCTGTCCACCATATTAACACACATGATGGTGGAAAAATATCGGAGACGCTTGTCAGTACACAAAAAAACACCTTTTATGAAGCAGAAAAATCATTTTACAGACTTCAACGCTGCCTAACACGTCAGAGTCAAAAACAGGCAGAGCTGCTGTTTCGGGTTGCAGTAGAGCAACAGGTAAAGAGCCCGGTTCACAATTTAATTATAGATATAAAAGAAATAAATAAATAAAATAAGAAAAAGACATCACGACTCGAGCTTTCACTACAGCAGCAACTCTGTTTAGTCGTCTTTATTTGTACAAGGCACACAGGGTATCAGAGACATTTGGCTCAAAGTTCAGTGACAGTTCATCTTTTTTAACCTTTAAAGAAGATTTCATACAATCAAATAGCAATATTATTTATTTAATATTGAGCTTTCTGAAGTCTGTTGGGGAACACTTTTCTGTCACTTCATAGATTCTCCATATCGATCAGACACGACAGAAGTCCGTTTGTGTTAGTCAGGTTAAACGTGAACGTGAGTTTGTGTCAGGTTTGCTTTAAAAAAAGCTGATGTGCTCGAGTCTGTGGTTAATCACCTGTAGATGGAACTTCATAATCACCTGTGTGGACATTTCTTTAACACCATCAAACTGCAGCTGAGAGAGTCAAAGAGTCAAACTCAGGTGACCCGGCCCGGCCGGGACGCTTGAGTTTGAGGGGTGCACAGTAAGCTGGTGGTGCGGCTTGGTTATGTGTCTCTCACAGTGCTGCGTGACACGCTGACAGCCG